AAGGACCCTAACAGGAAATAAAATCGGGACCACCAGCATGTTGGTCAGGAAGTTTGCAAACAGGGTCTGTCCCCAGAGCACGGTAAAATGACGTATTTTTATCTGCTTTCTGTGAACTATCATTCATGGAAAATAGGATTTCACGGAGGTGTCCAGACAATCTTGAATTCTTTGCTTGTCTCCGTGGTCTCTCATGGTTGTCTGACAACTGCATGGTCCCGGGTCTGCTGCTTGTGTGGGACTCTGAGGCAGCTTTTTGCCTTGCTTTGTAGTTAGAGCTAGAGGTGAACTGCATTTGGGGAACAGGATCTAAATCTCAACGTTATTCATGGAATCTCTGCTGTATGACACAGTTTGGTGTTAGGAGTCTGGTGGGGAGTGGGGGTGGTGGAGAAGCAATCTTCACTGCTTTGAAGGCACCATGTGAAAGAGGTGTGCATGTATGTGGGGGGTCATGAAACAACAAAGGGGGCTGTGAGAGGCGAGACCCAGCTCTTGATTGCTGCATAGCGTGGAGGTGCTTTCTTCAGGACGCCTTATGAGAGGGCTTCTACAAATTAGGTATGTGTGTGTGTGTATGCTTAAAATAAGATAACTTTAAATTATATGAACTATTGTGTGGATATATGTATATACACAAGTGTGTCACGTGTATATGTAGAGATCACAGGACAACTGGAGGAAGTTGGATCTCTTCTTCTACCATGTGGGACCCAGAGGTCAAACTTGGGTCACTGGACTTGGCTGCAAGTCCCTTTCCCCCACTGAACCATCTCAAGACCGAGATACGAGACTTTCATGGGGCTGGAGAGATGACTTCATGATTGAGAGCCCTTGCAAAGGACCCAGGGTCAGTTCCCAGCACTCTCGTGGCAGCTTCACGGTTGTTTGTAGACCCCGTTACAGAGAATCTAATGCCCTCTTCCCACCTCTCCAGGCACTGCATGCCTGTGACACATTTACGTACATGCAGATACTACACTCATATGCATTAAGTAAAAATAAATAAATCTGGAAAGAAACTGTAACCTTGGAAGATAAGTGGCAGCTAGAAGGAACGTGTCATAGTCTTTTATTTAAATGCTTCTCTACTCAGAGAAAAATCCCCAACGTGGAATAGTTTCCACTACAGGAAAGTGAACACTTTTTCAAGTGAAATCTGATACGTTGGCAGTGTGTTGCTCAGTCCTTCTGGGTTTTAGACTTCATATAGATAGTCTTCCACAGCATTGCACAGGAAAGAGGAGGGTAAATATTATCTCTCTCATTCTGACGCCCCCCACTTCCATCTTCTGTGACAGATTCACACCTGTAGACTATCTTAAATGAAATACCAGCCTAAATTGAGGCTACGTCTTGATTTTGAAGAAGACTCTGTAAGGTCTGTAAGAACTAAATGAGGTTCAATGATTTTGCAGAACTATTATTTATTGTTGTTGTTGTTATTATTATTATTTATCTGACCTTTTCTGTGTACCTGTGGTATCATTTAAGTGTGGCTAGGAAACACGGGAACCAGGAAGTACTTTCATCACCCCGACACAAACCACCTCGGCCCATCGCAGGCTCTCTGTGACTTCTCCGTTGCCGCACCAGTGTCCTGACACAAAGCAGCTGAAGGAAGAAAGGGTTGATCTGGCTCCTGTTTCCAGAGGGGATCCAGCGGGAAAGGTGTGGCAGCAGGAACAGAAAGCATACTGATTATACTTCAAAGACACACAGGAAGTAGCGGAGAACAGGAAGTGGGACCACAGGTTCTAAAACTCAAAGGCTGGCCAAGTGCCGTACTTCCTAAGGGTTCTCTAGCCTGCACAAAGAGTGCCACCAGCCAGGGACCAAGGGCTTGAATCCATGAGCCTATGGGGGACATTTCTCATCCAAACCACAGCACAGGCCCTTCCCTGGCTTTCCGAATGAGGGTCTGCCAATGACTTTGTTCCTTGTTTTGGTTGCTTGAAAAATCACTGATCTGGCACAGTGACCTGAAAACCTCTTGTACGTTGTCTCGTTAATCGTTTGGGATCAGCTAGTGAAAGGTGTCAGTGAGTCTGGTTTGTCGGCTGGTGTCAGTGATCTGCCTGGCATTCTCTTGGATGTTTCTGAAAGGAATCTTTTTCAACCCCTCCAGCTCGTGGGAACGCTGTACTCCAATCCATAATCTAGACCCAGCCCCGTCTGAAAGGGACTTGCTAAGCTCACTTATACCACTCTGAAAGATAGCTCAGGTACACTAATGTATGACGTCACTTCTGTGGAAGCATCCACCCTTGGTTTTACTTATGCATTATGTTCTCAGTAACTTGAGAAAACGAGCTTTAAAAAGTCGAGACACAGAAAATGAGATGCTGTGGGGGCACTGAGCCCTTCTCTCAAGAGGGAGTTTTTCATTTGTAAATCGATTGCATTCTCTATATACGTAGATTACCTCTTCAGTTGATGGAACTTTTCGCGTTTGCGTTTTTCATTCATAACGCACCAAAATTGGTTACAGAAGTGTGCCAAGCTCCTTGCTCAGTTCAGATGTGGTCTGGGGCTTTACTTTATGGGGTGAACACATTATATGCTGGGAATGCTTATTAAGTATGGTGCGTGGTTCCAGGTCCCGAATTAAGATGAGGAAAGAGCTGTGTTCTGCTCCGTGGCAACTTGGCATCCTCAAGGGCTCCGCGCGGCTGAAGTGTAGCGGTGCCCCGTCGGCTCTGTAGAAATTGGCCGTTTGACATCTGTTTTGAACCCTGAGCGAGGGCTCGGCTTACATTTTCTCAAGGTCTTACAGTGTAAGAGCGTAATAAAGTCTTGATGAGAATTTCATGCGCCTCCAATGCCAGGGTAGCACTTGTTTTATACGCCTCTGGCTTTTGCTAGCTGGAAAGAGACAGCTGTTGGATATTCATGGGGTATACTGCCAGCCATTGCTGTAGGCTTAACCGAGTGACTTCAGAGCCAAATCTCAGAGCCAGACCGAACAAACCTGGTGACTTGCAGCTCGCTCCTGTTGGTCACTTTAGCCTGCTTTCTGTTACAATAAGGGAAGCTATTTGGGATGAAAGGGGCTTTGTATTGTTGTTTTGTTTTGTTGGTTTTGGAGGGTTGGAGGCTCTCACTCCATCATCGATCATCCTTGTTGTCTGTTGCTCACGGAAACAGAACACCATGGCAGGGAGTACATGACCAAAGATGTTTACCTCAAGGCTAGGAAGTAGAAAAGGAAAGATGAGGAGCTTGGTCCCACAACATCATGCTCGTCATAAGTGAGAGACCTCCCACTAGGGTCCATCTTTTTGTTAATTAAAAAAAAATCTTTAAGATTATTTTGTTTTTTGTGTATGAGTGTTTTGCCTGGGTGTATGTCTATGTTCTGTGTGTGTGCCTGGCCCTTACAGAAGTCAGAACAGGGCATTAGATCTTCTGTAACTGGACTTACGGATGGTTGTAGACATAATATAGATGCTGGGTATCAACCTCAGTGCTCTTAACCGCTGAGCAATCTCTCCAGTCACAATCCCCATCTTTTAAAGGCTCCACCACTCTCAATACGTGGGGACTAAGCCTTTAACATGTGGGCTTCTGTAGGACATGTTAAAAACCAAACTATAACACCCAACAGAAAACGAACAACCTTCAGCTCAAACGACATCCTTGCACTATTTAGCTCCATCCTTATTTCATGTCCACAGTTCTCTTAGCTCCTCCTTCAATGTGCAGTGGCCACCCTCCAAGTGATGTCCCCTCTCTCTACACCAACCAGCCCACTCTCAGTTGGGTGACATATAAACCCAGGAAGCTGCAGCGCCACATCTGCCCAGGGTGCCCTTGATCTTGGGGGTCAAGGACAACTGTACCAAGTGGTGCAGTTCTTAAGGAGCAGGTCTTAGGGCTGGAGAGATGGGTCCCGGTTAAGAGCACTCACCCAGGTTTAATTTCCAGCACCCACATGGCAACTCACAACTGTCTATTACTCCAGGATCTAAAATTATCACACAGGTATACATTCACCAACATAAAATGCCAATATCCACAAAATAAAAATAAATAAATTACTTAAAAGCAAAAATGCAGGTCTAATGTATACACAGCCCACGTGTGAGTACAGCCACTGTGTCCTTCCCTCTGGAGATAACTGGGGGCTTCCTTGTAAATTCCCCAAATCAAATGTCAGTTTACCAATTCAGGATGAAAAAGAACTCAGGCCTGAGATGCTTGTGGCACTTTTCATGCCCCTGAATCATCCTGGCTTACACTGTGGCGTAACAGTTTATTAACCAACATTGCTGCCCACGGGGTCCTTAGATCATAGACGGCCTCTTCCCAGAGTGCGGAGGGATCTTGGCATCTGTCCATCCTCCCAGGAAAGGGCTACTTTTGTCTTCCCATACTGGGCTGTGCTCCTGCCCCTCCAGTAGCAGAAGACCTCAGGCCTGGGACCATCCAGACTCAGCCTCTTGCCCTGGCTGCCTGGTAAACACATCGTCATCTCTGGGTAGAGAGAGAGAAAATCTTCTTTCCTGTCACTCTGGTTTCTCCTTGCCCTTTCTTGTGCCCTGCCCATTTTCTTTCTTTCCTGTGAATTCTCTGGAATTTTCCTTACAGTTCCAGCTCTGTACAGGATGCCTAGTAAAATACAGGGGTAAAGGGGGGAGGCTCTTCCGGTGTTCTGGTTTATTTGGGAGATATTTTCACTTCTGGTAGCTAGATTACCTGTGTTTGGTCTTGGGCAATGCCCATAGCCCCCAGAGGGTTTGCTTGCCACTTACTCCACACAGCCTTGAATGGCAAACGGGCTGCTTTAGAGATAAGATTGCATCCGTGGATCTGGCAAACACTCGAAAGCCACAAACCCCTGTTTTCTCAAAGCTTCTTCCCATGTGAGCGGAAAATGTACACACTGGATTTGGAGGTTGTCTGGTGTCCCCCTCTGAACGCAGCCCGTGTGCCGCAGCTGTCCCCTCAGGAAGGGTGCCTCCTGTCCTCACTCCTCCCTCTTCTCTCTTCTCTCACAGAGTGTCCCCTCTGCAGAAGTCTGAGATTGTGGATGTTGTGAAGAAGCGGGTGAAAGCCATCACCCTGGCCATCGGGGACGGTGCCAATGACGTGGGAATGATCCAGACAGCCCACGTAGGGGTCGGGATCAGCGGGAACGAGGGCATGCAGGCCACCAACAACTCAGATTACGCCATTGCACAGGTCAGCCACCCCCCCCTTCCTGTCACAGTGATGGCAGCTGGGCACAGGAGCTCAGCCCAAGGGCTCTGCCCACTTTAGGAGGTTACGGTCTAGATTAACAGCAGGTACCAGTTGATGTCTCTGTTGTTTGAGTGTTGAACAGAGTGTTGGGTTTCCTTGGGCCAGAGGTGGGACTGGCTCATGGAGCTGTCATTTCAAAGATGTGCCTTTCCTGGGAGTCAGGACCCTAGGCCTCTTGAGCTCGACTCCTGTTCCTGCTGATGTGTGTGTGTGTGTGTGTGTGTGTGTGTGTGTGTATGTGTGTATGTGTTTGTATGTGTGTGCGCGGGCATGCCTGTGTGCATGTGTGCATGCGTGCGTGTGTGTGCATGTGTGTGTGCATGTGTGTGCATGTGCGTTTGTATGCATCCCCCACTGAAGAACAGCTGTTCTCAGAGTGCCTTTCTCTGCTGGACTCTCACTCAAGGACCTCCCTTCTTCTTGAAGGGCTGGCATGCTCAGGCCGAGTGGTTCAGGCCAGGACAAAGCAGTTACTTACAGATATCCCTCCCCCCTTGGCAGTCACGCCTGTGAACCACCTAAGACCCCTGCTGTGAGGTTACCTGAGAGGGCAGGAGCCAGGTGACTCATGGTCAGTAGCAAGCAGCCTCCTGCAGTCAGGCTGAGTTCGGTCCATTCCTCTCTAAACTGAGTGTCGCCAGCGTGTTTCTGATCGGCTCTGTGGTCGTGGACACTGATCTGGTTCCTAGTTTCCTCAAGTGTGCCCCGAGAATCCAAGAAACGTCTAACTCTTCATGCTAGTCAGAAGAGTCTTCCCTCCTGTGGAAGATCTGGGCTATCTGGCCCGACGGATCATCCAGATGTGTAGTCCCAGGGAATACTGGCATGTTCTCCAGTTACCCAGTTGTGGGGTCATGTGCCTAAATGCCTGTATTTGCTGAAGTACCAGCCATACACCCCCAATTCCTTGGACAGCCTTTTGAAGAACATGCCAACCCTAACTGCGTGGTTACTAGGAGCAGTGGCTTTGTCACCTTTTCAGCTACAATGCATAGAAAACCCTTCTTCCAAGCCCCAGGGCTCGTGGTCTGGTCCTCTGCTCCTTTGGGGGGGGGGGGGGCGTCCCTGAAGGAAGCTCTGTTTGTTTGCCTCTCAGGTTTCCTTCTGGTTTGAGGTTCGGCAAAGACAGCAAGAAATTACCCAGACCACATGGCTTTGAAAACGGCCTAAGTCAGTTTTCTTTTTTTGTGCACGTCAAACCCCTGAGCTGATTCCTGAAGTAGGCAGAAGGAATTCTGATTTTACCGGTGAGAAATCTGCAGGTCCTATGCACCCAACAACTGGCCTCAGGTCTGAGCATAGGCCCAACATCAGAGAACAGCAGACCCCTGTGAACTCGGGAGCTGCCACACACACCTGCTCCTTTACTTTGCCGAATCAACTGCGCAGAGGCCCGTGGGACCCACGCTTCCTGTCTGCTGTCAGCAACTGTGGATGTTATATACCCCAGCATTATTAAATACTTGAGTTATAACATCATGGGGCTGGAAGGGAACTTAAGAGGTTTCCTAGGAGTTACAGGCAAATATTTGTCTGCTTTTCTCTTTAGGATGTCTAGGGAGCAGGGATTCCTTACTGAAGCTGCACATGGGTAGGATGTGGAAGGCGAAGCAACTGCTTTTATGAAAAGGAAGCATCTGAGAGGGGTGGGACAGAGCCTTCTGCGTCCGCTTGGGGGTTTTCTTTGCCCTCCAGGGTAGTAGCCATCGCTCTGAAAGGAACCTAAGGCAGCCGCTGATATCCATGCCTGAATCTCCCTGTTCATTGTCCTGCAGAGGCATGCTGTCATCTCAGGGCTGAGTCTGTGCCAAGCACTGGACTCTAAACTGCCTCTTCCTTAATTACCATGCCAGAAACACCATCAGTGGGGTGAGTTCCTCTGCCCCATTGAAGTGATAATTGTGCCTGGTTGAAGTTAACACCATGTTCTTTATTATTTTGATATGGGTAGTTGCTTTTTTTTTAAAAATTTGTTTTTTTGAAAAAAGCACCCATAAGGAAAAGAAAAGATACCAAGGCAGTCTTATAGTGGCCAGAGCCCTGGTTCCAAGCCCTTGCTGTACCTTACGCTTGCACGCACAGCAGCTGCTGGCCAGGTGACTGGCCACTGCTGGCCTCCTAAACTAGGCAGAGGGACTGTACGGTATAGTGCGCGTCCACAGCCCTCGGTTCCCAGTCTGCCAGAGAACATCCCATCTGCCCCTGCTTTTGTCTCTCTTGTCTGACTCTGGGGTGACAGCTGCTTTACACTACATGCCCCTGGAATAGTGTGGCTTTGTCTCGGACGACAAGAGCCCTTAAATCACTCGTATCCAGAGCTAATCAGTTGCTCCTGCTTGCACAGGTGGGTGCTCTGAGTGGAAGATAAAGAAGGACTATACCACGGATGTAGAGGGGGAGACAGTGTGTGTGTGTGTGTGTGTGTGTGTGTGTGTTACATTTGTATGTCTGTATGTCTCTATATCTATGTGTCCCTGGGTAAGTCTGTCCCTGTGTCTCTGTGGGGTATGGGAAGTGTAATTGCTTTTAGCTGACAAGCTGACAGAACGCTGTCCTCAAGTGCATACCCTTTCTTGAGTAAAACCTTCACTGGGTGAGTGTCCCTCCTCCTGTGGTCACCATAAAATGTGTGACCTGATCGTGTGGAACTGTCCCATTCCCATTTGCCTTTCTTACAGCTCACACTGTCACCTTCCTTGCCTAATTAAGTCCCTGAAAGGCATTTAGCTCAAAGAATTCCAAAACAGTCCTAGTGAGAAGCCAGAAGCTTGTTTGGGGACAACAATAATTAGTCAGTTGAAGAGATTTTTTTTCTTTTCCTTCTCAGCTGCTCTGAAAGCTCCACCTGGGTGGGGGGGGGGCAGGTTTTGTTTCTTTGTTTGTTTTGTTGGTTACCTAAGGTTCTGGTCTCCTCCCCTTCCCTGTCTGTTTTCTGCTCATGAAGACAGCCTATGTCCTTTATTCCTCCATGGCAGGCTTCTCTGAACTTTGTCACTGTCCCTTTACAGTTTTCCTACCTGGAGAAGCTGCTTTTAGTTCATGGAGCCTGGAGCTACAACCGGGTGACCAAGTGCATCCTCTACTGCTTCTACAAGAATGTGGTCCTCTACATCATCGAGGTAAGGACATCCCTTCCCTCAAAGAGGCAGGCTCTGCAGAGGGCATCTTTAGACAGTAAGCCATCTTTCTTTCCCTTCTTTTTTTGACATTAAATCCAAATTTAAAGGTACTCTTGAGTCTTACTAAGATCCGTGTCATGCAGCTTTCTTTAAACTGTACCATGAGACTTGTAATAAGGAACCAGGGCTAGTGCGGCCTTTCTTCCTCGTCCAGCCATGCATTCTTCCCAAGCTCCCCCTCCCTGCCCTGATCCTGGGATCCTTTTCCTTGGCCCTAACTTGTGTCAGTGGTGGCAGAGAATACTTGCTAAGGCAAGCATTCCACTTGCTAAGGCAGAATGAGACCAGTGTGGTCAGTGCCAGGAAATAGAGATGCCCATCTTTCTAGGTGGCTCTGAGACATTTCCAGGCAACCTGTCCTGTGTTTTTCTTTCCTTGAATGAACGGGCACAAATGGGGCATGATTCCCTGCTGTGTTTGTCATGGCATCTGCTGTTTCCTGAACATGTCCTCACTGCCCCTGCGATTTTTGGATGCTAAGACTCATGTGGCAAAGGTGAGAATGGGGCCGGGGGACGTCTAGTAGGAAGCTGATAAGGTCATTTAAAATCTTACGCTCAGTTCATGTTCTATTGTCCTCGTCTTGTTTAGTGCTGTGATAAAATGCTGACCGAAAGCAGCTTGGGGATAAAAGGATTGGCTTAGCTTAGTTGTGGTCCATCACCAAGGGAAGTCAGGGAAGGAACTGAAAGTAGAACCCTGGAGGCAGGAACTGAGGCAGAAGACGTTAAAGAGGGCTGCTTGCTGCCTTGCTCCCCATGGCTTGCTCTGTTTGTTTTCTTACACACCTCAAGACTGCCTGCCCATGGGTGACATCACCCACAGTGAGCTGGGCCCTCCCTCATCCCTCATCAGTCAAGAAAATGCCCCCACAGACTTGCCCATAGGCCAATCTGATGGAAGCCTTTTTCTCAGCTGAGGTCCCCTTTCCAAGATGACTACAGTCAACTTAGGTCAAGTTGGCAAAAGCTAACTAACCAACACAGGTCTACAATTTTCCAAGATGCTAATTCATGTATTGCTATGTGGAGGGCAAGGTCCCAGAGTCAAGGAGGCTCTTTAAGTTTGCTGCTTGGTACTGGTCTCTTGGGTTTTCCCTCCTGAGGACAGCTCATTTTAAAAGTGTGTCTGTGAGGCTATCTTGACTCATCAGATTGTCAAATGCATTTGGAAGAGAGGGGAACTGGGGATAGGGGTCTATGTTGGGGGTAGGGGTTAAGTTAAAGCTTGGCTGCTGTCAATAAGACCATAAACATGTTTTAGCCAGACAGGGTGGTTCATGTCTGTAATACCAGCATTTGGTAGGTAGACAGGAGGATGGGGCTTTCATGGTCAGCCTCGGCTATTCAATGAGTTCCAGATCAGCTTGGGCTACAGGATGAGGAGGAAGAAGCGGTAGAGGAGGTAGAAGGGATGGAAGTCCATCTTAGAGCAATAGAAATCAATGTTGCCTCTATTTTAATATCTCATTTTATTATGGTATAATTTTTCAACTCTTAGCAAAAATACTAGTGAAGGAAGAAACTGGCTTTTCCCGGTGCTGTCTCCTAAAGTCCCCAGGTCGAGCTTGTTAATGTAACAGTGACCAATTACTACTTTATCAGCATGCTAACTCCTTCCTAATGAAGCCTTCAGGTCACATGGACAGGTTAATGTTTCTTGTCGGGGAACCACACCAGGACAGGGGGTTTCTGAAGCTGTGTAGTTGTTTATACTGCATGGCTCCCCAGCCGAAGGCATCAGTGGGACAGAAGCAGTCTGTGCCTCCGTGATCAAGCCCACCTGGAAACAGCATTTTGCTGGCTTACATAAAGGCAATTTCTTTGCTGCTCTGTGTACCCATAGTGTGGCTGCCTCAGCATAGAGGATGGCTGCTCTAATTGACCCAGTAGCTCCTTTTATGCTGGGAGCACCCTGATCATTAAAAGAATCTTACAAGTGATTGGAAGAGACCTGACTAACATCCTGCAGCCTGTCCTCTTCCCTACCCTGAGTCCTCTGTGTCAAAGGCCCTGCCTGCTTACAGTGAACAGCAAGTATATGCAGAGCAGGACCTGGGGACGTTTGCAGGTGTGATTACTATTTGGTTCAGGGTAGGGAGGTTCAAATCCATGTAGATGTTTATGTTGCATGTTTTGTCATCATTATCTTCCCCCGTTCTCATTTTTACTGCCCCCCTTTGGAATTTGGAAATGTCTGTCCCTCTCCTGCAGGGACAGCTTTTTTTTTCTTTCTTTCTTTCTTTCATTCATTTTTTTTTTTTTTTGCACGCATGATAGAAGTCACTCCTTAGTGTCACTCGGGGTCACAGATAATAGCATGGGCAGAATAAAGGGAGCTGGGATCCTACACACCACCCCAAGTTTCCCAGGACTCTGTCCCTGTAGCTGTTGGCTTTATACAGCTTCTTTATAATCTGGTTTTCTTCACCATCAGCAGATGGCTGATGAGCTAGGCTTCTTATCAAGACATTCTACATGGGGCTCCAAGCCTTCCGCTTCCCAGAGCAGCGCTCAGGGCCCTCCTAGTCACTTAACACCTACTATCTTACTTCTGTCTCCTTTTTTTTTTTTCAAGCGGGCTGCAGCTTAGTAGAGCACCCTTTTAGTCTGTCTGCAAAGAGCTGCTTGGAACGCCCCCCCCCCCCCCCCCGACGGCGCTGAGTGAGTGCCTCAAATGACTAGGCTAAGAATTGCTAAATGGTCTGCTGCGAAAGGCTCTTCCACACACTCCCCAGAAAACTTTTAGGAATGTAAAACCCTCGCAATTCTGTGTCTCCATTTCTGGTTAGAATTTGTGGGAGGTTCTAATTTGGAAACCAAGAGAACAAAGCCCTTGACTGATTCATGGTCAGAGTGTCCACTTAGACACTGCCAATGCCCTGGAACCAGCATGTTTTTCCAGAAGGGCCTTCGGAGTGGGAAGGTACTGCTCACATGCTATTTTAGTGGGTCTTGAGCTGCAGGATCCAAGATTGCTACAGAAAGACGTGCTCATTTGCAAAAAAATAAAATAAAATACTGAAGATAAGGCTATATTTAATGATTTAAGTGAGAACAAACTAAGCATGCTAGTTACGTGTCTTAAGGGTTTCCTTGTGGCTCACAGAGGCACCTGTGCAGTAGTAATATGTACTCATCTCAAACGCCCTCCAATATATGTAACTACCAGACATTTTAAAGTATAGTCTAAAGGCAATGTGGGTAGCATGCATATGCGCACCCACTCTGTGGCCTACCTTATTTTTTGAGGACTATTGTCTAGATTTCCAGTAAAAATTGGGACATGACGGGTCCTTCCTGTTTGGTGTACTAGTCCATAAAAGTGGGGTTCCTGTATAAGGGAAATATGCATTATTCTGGATGCTGTATGGAATGCATACTGGAAGTCTCCACTACTTACATGCTATCTGCTCTTGCCTGTTTCTCTACAGTCACACATAGATTTTTTTTTATACTTTAGTGTTTTTAATTAAGCTATATGTTTTCCCTACTCTCCTTTCTTTCTCCCCTCTCCCCTTTCACCCTCCCCCCTGCCTCACACGCTCCCAGGTTGCTCAGGAGATCTTGTCTTTTTCTCCTTCCTAGGCAGATTCATGTATGTCTCTCCTAGGGTCTTCTTTGTTGTCTAGGTTCTCTGGCAGGCTGGTTATTCTTTGCTTTATGTCTAAAAGCCACTTATGAGTGAGTATACATTATATGTGTCTTTCTTAGTCTGGGTTATCTCAGTATTTTTTTCTAGTTCCTTCCATTTGCCTGCATATTTAAAGATGTCATTATTTTTTACTGCTGTGTAGTACTCCATTGTGTAAACGTACCACATTTTCTTTATCCATTCTTCAGTTGAGGAGCATCTAGGTTGTTTCCTGGTTCTGGCTATTACAAATAATGCCTCTGTGAACATGATTGAGCAAATGTCCTTGTGGTATGACTGAGAATCCTTTGGGTATATGCCCAAAAGTGGTATTGCTGGATTTTGAGGTAGATTGATTCCTAATTTTCTGAGAAACCACCACACTTATTTCCAAAGTGACTGTACCAGTTTGCACTCTCACCAGCAATGGAGGAGTGTTTTTTCTCTCTATTCTACAGACTCTCCAGCATAAGTTGCCATTCATGTTTTTTATCTTGGCCATTCTGACATGTGTAAGGGAATCTCAGAGTTGTTTTGATTCATATTTCTCTGATGACTAAGGATGTTGAGCATTTCCTTAGGTGTCTTTTTAGTAATTTTAGATTCCTTTGTTGAGAGTTCTCTGTTTAGGTCTGTACCCCATTTTTTATTGGATTATTTGTTCCTTTAATGACCAATTTCTTGAGTTCTTTGTATATTTTGGAGATCAGCCCTCTGTCTGATGTGGGGTTGGTGAAGATCTTTTCCCATTCCATTCTGTAGGCTGCCATTTTGTCTTGTTGACCATGTTCTTTGCTTTACAGAAGGTTCTTAGTTTCAGAAGGTCCCATTTATTAATTGTTTCTTTCAGTGTCTGTGCTACTGGGGTTCTATTTAGGAAGTGGTCTCCTGTGCTAGTGTGTTCAAGGCTTCCTCCCACTTTCTCTTCCCGTAGACCCTGGAAATGCACCCTTGAGAAACATTGCCCTCCTCTTCACATAGACTCTGGGTATGATCCCCTACAGTCTGTTCAGTCCCTTCTGTATTGATTGAGCATTTGTGTTGTCGTCTTCAGTTTCAGAAGCTTTGTAGAATAGCAGTGTTCCTGCTCCTGAGGTCACAGATATTCCAAAATGGTGTTGGTCTAGTTAGTCTATTTCATCACACTGCCTTGAATAGACCATGACCTTAATGTGGGGACTTCTGTCTGCATAGCAGATCCACTGTTGCTGACAGATCTACTAAGCACTCAATTGAATGCACCACATAAAATTTATTGAGGTGAAGTGGCTATTGTTCAAGAAATTTGAAATAAGAACAAAAGGTGG